CCCCCCCCCCCCCCCCCCCACACACACACACACACTTTATCCCCTTATAACTTTGTTGTGGGAGGTGTGATAATGAACTATACCTCAACGGTGAAACATGTTACTTACCTCTGAAGCTTCAAGACGCCCTTGTTTTTTACAGCTAGCATCAGGACAGGTAATAGCCATGATATTGCCCTCCACAATCATCACTTGTAGGTACTGTTTCATACACTGTGGAGCAACATTTATTCACAATTAATTCAATGAAGTTGAGAAAATATTTTTTACAGCACATTTTTTTTTTCTAGTATGAAATGGACATGGAAGCTGTGAAGTACATCATTTGATTTCAAGATTTTGGACCCGGAAGATAAAAGTTGTACAGTGGTACCCACGTATCGTGATTTAATCGGATATTATGATAAACCGCTTATTATAATATTTTCCCCATGAATCAATTTTTCTCTATATAACCTAAGTAAAAAAATATGTTTATTATGATATAGTCAAACGTAGGACCCCGATTATTATAATATTTTTTTCTGTCGTGAATGAAATTTTATTAGCGAAGTAAGTTGTTCGTGCGCGACACCTGGACAATGGGACCAAAGGTCCGGCTAACTGATTGTTACACAGCCCACCAATCCACTAGTATAATAGTAAATGGGGGATCATAAAACTATACTTATACACACATGGGTACTGATGGGTATACTGTGTGCTGAAGTACAGACTCAAATACACCATAATAGTTAACAGGGGATCATAAAACTATACCATTACACACGTCGATACTGTGTGCTGAAGTACAGACTCAAATACACCATAATAGTAAACGGGGGATCATAAAACTATACCATTACACACGTGGATACTGTGTGCTTAAGTACAGACTCAAATACACCATAATAGTAAACGGGGGATCATAAAACTATACTATTACACACGTGGATACTGTGTGCTTAAGTACAGACTCAAATACACCATAATAGTAAACGGGGGATCATAAAACTATACTATTACACACGTGGATACTGTGTGCTTAAGTACAGACTCAAATACACCATAATAGTAAACGGGGGATCATAAAACTATACTATTACACACGTGGATACTGTGTGCTTAAGTACAGACTCAAATACACCATAATAGTAAACGGGGGATCATAAAACTATACCATTACACACGTGGATACTGTGTGCTTAAGTACAGACTCAAATACACCATAATAGTAAACGGGGGATCATAAAACTATACCATTACACACGTGGATACTGTGTGCTGAAGTACAGACTCAAATACACCATAATAGTAAACGGGGGATCATAAAACTATACCATTACACACGTGGATACTGTGTGCTTAAGTACAGACTCAAATACACCATAATAGTAAACGGGGGATCATAAAACTATACCATTACACACGTGGATACTGTGTGCTGAAGTACAGACTCAAATACACCATAATAGTAAACGGGGGATCATAAAACTATACCATTACACACGTGGATACTGTGTGCTGAAGTACAGACTCAAATACACCATAATAGTAAACGGGGGATCATAAAACTATACTTATACACACATGGATACTGATAGGTATACTGTGTGCTGAAGTACAGACTCAAATACACCATAATAGTTAACAGGGGATCATAAAACTATACCATTACACACGTGGATACTGTGTGCTTAAGTACAGACTCAAATACACCATAATAGGAAACGGGGGATCATAAAACTATACCATTACACACGTGGATACTGATAGGTATACTGTGTGCTGAAGTACAGACTCAAATATACCATAATAGTAAACGGGGGATCATAAAACTATACCATTACACACGTGGATACTGTGTGCTTAAGTACAGACTCAAATACACCATAATAGTAAACGGGGGATCATAAAACTATACCATTACACACGTGGATACTGTGTGCTGAAGTACAGACTCAAATACACCATAATAGTAAACGGGGGATCATAAAACTATACTATTACACACGTGGATACTGTGTGCTTAAGTACAGACTCAAATACACCATAATAGTAAACGGGGGATCATAAAACTATACTATTACACACGTGGATACTGTGTGCTGAAGTACAGACTCAAATACACCATAATAGTAAACGGGGGATCATAAAACTATACCATTACACACGTGGATACTGTGTGCTGAAGTACAGACTCAAATACACCATAATAGTAAACGGGGGATCATAAAACTATACCATTACACACGTCGATACTGTGTGCTTAAGTACAGACTCAAATACACCATAATAGTAAACGGGGGATCATAAAACTATACCATTACACACGTCGATACTGTGTGCTGAAGTACAGACTCAAATACACCATAATAGTAAACGGGGGATCATAAAACTATACCATTACACACGTCGATACTGTGTGCTGAAGTACAGACTCAAATACACCATAATAGTAAACGGGGGATCATAAAACTATACCATTACACACGTCGATACTGTGTGCTGAAGTACAGACTCAAATACACCATAATAGTAAACGGGGGATCATAAAACTATACCATTACACACGTCGATACTGTGTGCTGAAGTACAGACTCAAATACACCATAATAGTAAACGGGGGATCATAAAACTATACCATTACACACGTCGATACTGTGTGCTGAAGTACAGACTCAAATACACCATAATAGTAAACGGGGGATCATAAAACTATACCATTACACACGTCGATACTGTGTGCTGAAGTACAGACTCAAATACACCATAATAGTAAACGGGGGATCATAAAACTATACCATTACACACGTCGATACTGTGTGCTGAAGTACAGACTCAAATACACCATAATAGTAAACGGGGGATCATAAAACTATACCATTACACACGTCGATACTGTGTGCTGAAGTACAGACTCAAATACACCATAATAGTAAACAGGGGATCATAAAACTATACCATTACACACGTCGATACTGTGTGCTGAAGTACAGACTCAAATACACCATAATAGTAAACGGGGGATCATAAAACTATACCATTACACACGTCGATACTGTGTGCTGAAGTACAGACTCAAATACACCATAATAGTAAACGGGGGATCATAAAACTATACCATTACACACGTCGATACTGTGTGCTGAAGTACAGACTCAAATACACCATAATAGTAAACGGGGGATCATAAAACTATACCATTACACACGTCGATACTGTGTGCTGAAGTACAGACTCAAATACACCATAATAGTAAACGGGGGATCATAAAACTATACCATTACACACGTCGATACTGTGTGCTGAAGTACAGACTCAAATACACCATAATAGTAAACGGGGGATCATAAAACTATACCATTACACACGTCGATACTGTGTGCTGAAGTACAGACTCAAATACACCATAATAGTAAACGGGGGATCATAAAACTATACCATTACACACGTCGATACTGTGTGCTGAAGTACAGACTCAAATACACCATAATAGTAAACGGGGGATCATAAAACTATACCATTACACACGTCGATACTGTGTGCTGAAGTACAGACTCAAATACACCATAATAGTAAACGGGGGATCATAAAACTATACCATTACACACGTCGATACTGTGTGCTGAAGTACAGACTCAAATACACCATAATAGTAAACGGGGGATCATAAAACTATACCATTACACACGTCGATACTGTGTGCTGAAGTACAGACTCAAATACACCATAATAGTTAACAGGGGATCATAAAACTATACCATTACACACGTGGATACTGTGTGCTGAAGTACAGACTCAAATATACCATAATAGTAAACGGGGGATCATAAAACTATACTAATACACACGTGGATACTGTGTGCTTAAGTACAGACTCAAATATACCATAATAGTTAACAGGGGATCATAAAACTATACCATTACACACGTCGATACTGTGTGCTGAAGTACAGACTCAAATACACCATAATAGTAAACGGGGGATCATAAAACTATACTATTACACACGTGGGTACTGTGTGCTTAAGTACAGAATCAAATACACTGTTTTGTGGTGACATACACAATGTAACTTTCGTTATCTTCATCGGTTCTGAAGGAATGTCACAGAAACAAGAATAATGTTTCACTGATCAATTTAATCACCATCCTCAAATCATGTGAAGTTGAGTGATGGATAACATTGGTGATAACTTGATTTTAAATTTAGGGATTAAGTTTTGGGATAAGTTTCAATTTGAGAGATAACAAAGGTGTGGCATTGCTTGGAGACGGGCACACTGGCTGACATTTTCTAATTTTGGACATGAAGTGCAATCGTATTATCCAAAGCAAATATTTTAGACAGGGATGATATTACCTCTGATTAATTCACAGCCTTTTCACCAAAGTCTAAAGTATTAGTCAGCAACTACTCAAAATAACATAATACACTCTATCAGAGTCAGGAATCAGATTTCATTCATCAACTGATCGTACAATACAGGTTTAAATCGTTCTTTATCGCTAGCCAGAAAGCATGCTAATCGGCCTAAAACACTGATTTAAGAACACAAAGAGTTACACGGTCAAATAATAAGATAAAGCTTACAAGCAGTCAATTCATTTTTTGTTTTTCATTGAGCAATAAAAAGGTCATTGAACTGTGTCGGTACAGAAACTTTTAATTATACGTTTGTATACAGGTAACGTAGATAGGATACGATATTTACACCCACTAGCAAATAAAACACGAACAGACTAGATTCACAATGGCTAATGCACCGTTCTGTATTAATGAAATAATCTAATGTACAATGAGACCCTTGCTGTATGACATGCTAAAAATCCCCGCATTTCCAATCATAAATCATCACCTGGGGATGAAATTGACCACATGGCGGTTTATTTCCAGTGTGAGCTATGTAATCATATTTCCAGTATCCTTTTACAATAAATAATCACATACATTTAAGCCAATCAGTTGGTCTAACTCATTCACCCCAGAAATTTCAAAATGAAACATTTCCACCTTTGAATTGGAAGAGTTCAAATTTATCTGCAGGGGTGAAATTAATGAGTAATGCGTTAGGGGAAGGAAGGATATACGGTATTACATATACTATACAGTAGCAACACACTGCTCATCATGATCAAGACACCAAAGGAAAACCAGACACTACAAATTATGGTTTCCTTTCGTAATGATCATGTCCAGGGTGACTGTCAGCTGTGTTTATATAGCTACCGATTTACAAGCAAGCATGTAGACATTGCTTGATCATATACATGTATTTGGATTTCTTCAGTATTTGGTGTAAAAAGTGTCAAAAACACATATCACCAATTTAAAATTTCCCAAAGCAGCTCTGGTTTTACATACCAATTTCCTATTCTATCATTACATCATGTTCCCAGTTTTTAGACTTCGGTGTGGTACTCAGACGTCTACCTGCAGTTTCATACCTGGGATCCGGTTCTTGTCAATATAGATAAGGTATCACCTAACATGTTGTGTGTTTCCAATGTTTGCAGGTCTTTTGTTCAGCCAAGTCAATAAGAGGTGATAGTACCTAATACCCTGAGGTACGCAGGTGGAACACAGACACTGGGACATAGATCGATACAGCCAAACGATTGATGCCGTAAGTTCGCAATATGATTTGCAAAATGTAGTGAGGTGCATGGATTCTCTCTTGATGAAAAATTAATTAATAATTTATGTGACATAAGAACCATGAAATGAAATATCGCAAATCTTTCTTATTTAGACCTTTACCTGTCAGCAGCCAGGGGGTTACACCCTTCCTTTAGATTACAATATTTGATTCTCCGGTACCAAACATGCTATAATTCATACTAAGTTTTGCTGAAATAAGATAAACTCTTCAGGAAGAAATTTGGCTTTTTCCTGACTCAAATGACCCCTTTTGGCCCAATGCAAGCCTTCAGGGGAACTACATTCTTCCTATACCCAATGAGTGGCTGTTGGGTTCCAAGGACCAAGGATTCTTAATAGGATATATGATACAGATGTATATATGGTTATAGGGTGAAGAGTTTTCAGGACGTAATCCTTGGATTTAATTCCCTATGGATGGTGCATCTCTCAATGCCAAGCATTTGTATGAATAGCTATTAGGTAGGGATATCAACAGTTCTACGTTATGACCAGGAGACTACGTCTCGAAGGTTGGGCTGGACCCTAGGTCCTGTAATTAGCATATGCTTATTCAGTTGAATCTGCATTAAGCGACCACCCAAGGGAAATTAAACAAGAGGCCCAGAGGGCCTGTATTGCTCACCTGAATACTTAAGCAGTCATAGCAAAATATTCTCATTAAATATTATATTGCACTACAGATTTCCCTCGCAAACTGTGTCAGCTCCATCTGTTGAAACTACCAGCCAAATACTATTATAAGATTCTATGCTTTTTGGTCTTCTTCAGAAGTTGTTTGACATATATTTTCCTGTTACCTTGTAAGTAGGTCAATGTCATTTTCCTTCTCAAACTTTGTTAGCTCTATCCCAAAAAGCTACCAACCAAATCTTATGAATCCATTCCTTTTGGTTCTTCAGAACAAATCCTTTGAAATGTTGTTGACCTCTGTGACCTTTAAAGTAGGTTGAGGTCATTTTCATTTGCAAACTTTGGTGAGCTCTATCCCAGGAAGCCACCAGGCAAATATTATAATTTTATGCCTTTCAATGATTATTCAGAAGTCGTTTGATGTTTTTGACATATTTGACACCTGTGACCTTGAAAGTTGGTCAAGGGCATTTTCATTCTCAAACTTTGTTGGGCTCTATCCCAGGAAGCCACCAGCCAAATTTGAAGATTCTATACCTTTCAGTTCTTCAGAAGAAATCGTTTGAAGTGCTAGACACATTTGACCCCTGTGACCTTGAAAGTAGGTCAAGGCCATTTTCGTTCTCAAACTTTGTCTGGCACCATCACAGGAAGCCGTCAGCCACATATGAAGATTCTATACCTTTGAGTTATTCAGAAAAAGTCGTTCGAAGCATTTGACAAATTTGACCGCTGTGACCTTGAAAATAGGTCAAAGTAATGTTCATTCTTAAACTTTGTCGGGCTCCATCCCAGGAAGCCATCAGCCAAATATAAAGATTCTATACCTTTTAGTTCTTCAGAAGAAGTCCTTTGAAGTGTTTGACATATTTGACCGCTGTGACCTTGAAAGTAAGTCAAGGTCATTTACATTCTCAAATTTTGTCTGGCTCAATCCACGGAAGCCACCAGCCGAATTTGAAGATTCTTTACCGTTTAGTTCTTCAGAAGAAGTTGTTTGAAGCAGTTGACATATTTGACCCTTGTGACCTTGAAAGTAGGTCAAAGTCATTTCACTCTCAAACTTTGTCGGGCTCAATCCCAGGAAGCCACCAGCCAAATTTGAAGATTCTTTACCGTTTAGTTCTTCAGAAAAAGTCGTTTGAAAAGTTTGACACATTTGACCCCTATCGGGCTCCTACCAACGAAGCTTTCAGTCAAATATCATAGCTCTATACCTGTTCGTTTTTCAGAAGAAGTCCTTTAAAGCTAAAGTTGACAGACGCCGGACACCGCACCATGACAGAATCTCATTTGCCCTTTGGGCAGGTAAGCTAAAAAACGGTCGACAAATAAAAGTGGTCGTTTAATAAAGTTTGACCATATTTTGTACAGAATTACACAAACAATTACTTCCAAAAGAATCCTTATTCAGACAACTGTAATCAGACCACCACACCAAGCGCACATTTATACATGTATATACAGGTAGTTTAAAACAACATCGTTCAATAGATAAGGTGAATAAATAATCAGTAGTCGAGTGATAATTTTGACATTAAACAAACAACTGAGAGTGTTTCAAAAGAATTGTAATTTCACTCAAAACAAACGATCGCCGGTGACTTGCTGAAGTTCTCAACTTATACGACTGTGTTTTCGGTAATAACCATGATTTAAGCTAAATTGTTACGCAAGATATTGTTGTTGAAATGATAGCGGTTTCTGTTGTGATCCAACAGATGGGTACAAGTGTATTACCCTTTATTTTACGATGGGAACTCAGAAAAGAGAGTCCTGTTAAAAAATGACCTAAATAAAGCCGACAGCGTGTTGCCAAAAAACAGATCGGTATTATTGTCGTTAGAAACGATATATTTGTTAACATGAACATGTTTAGTGCGCAGTTACGCATGCGCTGATATTTAATGTTAATTTCATGCGACAGTGATGTCATGATCATCTCAAAGCCTCGAACTGCACTCAATTTGGTTTTGTCAAATTTGTTCAATGAACTTGGTGAAAAGATCGTGAAGTAGCCCTTCGTCAAATGTGGTGACAGTCGCAAATTTGGAGTCACGCAGCTATTTCAACGACCGTTTGGTATATTTTCATCAAACATGGTCGTTTAAAGTAAGATTTGGGGTCAGTATTGGGTGGTTGCTGGTCGCGTTAGACAGATAGTCGCTTAATACAGTTGAATTACATAGTTAAAACGGTTGGGAGGAATGGAAAGTGGTCGCACATAACAGATGGTCGTTTAATACAGATGGTCGCTTGAGCAGATTCGACTATATATATATATGGTTATCGGGTGGGGATTACAACAGTTCCATGTTATGACTAAGAGACTAAATCTCAAGGGGTGGGCTTGACCGCAGGTCCTGGGTCTTGGTAGCATTTGTTTTCATCTCTTCATAGTCAGCAATTGTATATATGGCTATAGTATGGGAATCTCATCTGTTTCCATGTTATCGACCCAGAGACTAAGGACCACTTGTAGTATGATTCTGTAAGTGTGCCTTTTTCAGCTTTCATTCACAACTCCCTGGGGAATCAGCCCCTTTGTTTGTACATTTTTTAATCATCATCACCTGAGGATGCAACCAACCAAACAGCGATCACGGCTGATATCCATCATACATCGCTCAAGAGAAGTCCAGTTACTGCACAGCAGGTATCAAAATAGTGTAGTGTCACTGTGATCCTCTGACATATCACATGTACACTGCATCACATGTAAAATAGGGGCCACGTGATGGAGATAAAGTAATGCAGGTACAATATACGGCCCTACGTTCCCCAACACTACGGCAACACCTGTCTCCTCGTTAAGGACCCACACGTAGTCTGTGGTGTGACTGCATTCCTCTTACTGTCATCCCAGGTCAAAGACTTCAGTAGAAATCAATAAGATTAGTTGGGTAATAGATACACACCTAACACATCATAAGGTTGTACGACAATAGCGTAGGTCATATATAACAGCGAACATATACCCCCACCATTTATACAAAATCGACTTCCCTTTGACCTAAACCAAATATTTCTACATTGGAAAGGAAGTAGAAGTGTTTTTTTTGAAGATTTACCCCCCCCCCCCCCCATTTCTAGGACCCGGCTCTTTGCCCCAAGAGGGACGGACCACACCCGCTATTTGTACATAGAACCGTTAACTCTTTGGCCAAGACTGTTCCAGACCGAATTTGGTCAAAATCCACTGAGCCATTGAGGACAACAATCATTTTATAAGTTGATGGACGCCGTGCTACTGCATAAGCTCACGTTGGCCAGTTGAGCTAGAAATTAATAGCAAAGTCACATGCCAAATATCATGGCCCAAGAGTTTATGGCCATTCTGAAAAACATGTTAAAAAAGTTGATGACTGATGGAAGATGCACTATGGTAAAATCACACTACCTAACCCTCCGTTGTGAAGGCATTTTCAGCTGAAATTGGCTTACCGTATACAATTTTGAAAATATTTTATGATGAGACAAGGTGGTTGATGGGTAAACATGTATTAAGGATGGGGAAAGTAATTAACTTGGTCATGGCCATTAAATTTAAATCCAATCTGAAAAGAAGTAAATTAGAGAAATAGTTGATGGACGGACAACAGATCATGTATCTGAACAAAACATTATGGCACAAAAAATAATTTTCCCTTTTTAGTTTTAGTGTACAAATTCTCTCTTACCTTTTCACAATACAAACATTTGCAGTCATGAAGTTCGTACATCTCCGGGAGAGTACATTCGGAGAGGCATAATCGACAACTGATCAGAGGGTCTATAGCAAGGTCCATACTGTTCTTGCTGCTTTGATAGGCTGCCATCTGTAGGTTTGTCCTGGAAAAAAAAGAACCATATAGGTAGTACTTTGGTGTGAACAACTTTGTAACTGACAGGTTCATTGCAGAGAACTAAGGAGCCGTGATTGTATGGCGAATAATGGTAGAACATTGACCTTGTGAACGGATCAATACATATTTTAAGAAACTCCGTACTGATGAAACTTATATCATATAAATATCAAGACACGATGGTGTGTTAAGTACTTTATTCCGGTCCACACTGACACCTTCCTCTTGGTCAACATCACAACAAGAGTCAAACATCTTATCATTATAGAGCTTACATGATCTGCGATTACTGAACATGATATAAATTAAGTTGATCTTCATAGAGGTATTTTGAAAAGAGGTTGTGGGGTGTGTAATACAAATGGCTGTACCCTAACGGTCAGAGTCAAAACATGTCAGAAGTGAAGTAACCATTATGACTCAGGTCTGTAGCATCGAGGTCACTGGAACACATCAGAAGTGACCTATCATACTGAGGACTGTACCCTAAAGGTCAGAGTCAAAACACCCCAGAAGTGACGTAACCATTATGACTCAGGTCTGTAGCATCAAGGTCACTGGAACACGTCAGAGGTGAACTTATCATACTGAGGACAGAAGTGACGTAACTATTATGACTCAGGTCTGTAGCATCGAGTTCACTGGAACACATCAGAGGTGACCTATCATACTGAGGACAGAAGTGACCTTGACCCATTTATGAGAGCTCTGAGACAAGATATAATGGTTCTGTAGTTATGACACCTTGTCCTCATCTGAAGATCATTTATAATTATCTCCTCTGTAAACTTAGCATCTCTTAAACCCAGGACATCTTTTAAAGATCTTCACTTCCACTCTAAAGCCTTTAGGCTTCTCTAACACCTTCTGCTTTCTGAGTGTACCAATGACCTCCTCTGAAAAGCCAAGACCGTCTCTGTAAATGCTCTTTCAGACACCACTGACTTTCATTGTGATCTCAGAATTATTTTGACTTTCACCTGATCATCTTTGTAAAAGGCTGACTCCTATGTAAACCACTGAACCTCTTTGTAAGGCAGCTGACCTCAATACAAACCACTGAACCTCTTTGTAAGCAGCTGACCCCTATACAAACCACTGAACCTCTTTGTAAGCAGCAGTGAGTGACTCCTACACAAACCACTAAACCTCTTTGTAGGCAGCTGCCCCATATACAAACGACTGACCTCTTTGTAAGCAGCTGACCTCTATACAAACCACTGAACCTCTTTGTAAGCAGCAGTGAGTGACCCCTACACAAACCACTAAACCTCTTTGTAGGCAGCTGACCCATATACAAACGACTGACCTCTTTGTAAGCAGCTGACCCCTAGACACACCACTGAACCTCTTTGTAAACAGCTGACCCCTATACAAACCACTGAACCTCTTTGTAAGCAGCTGACCCCTATACAAACCACTTACCTCTTTGTAAGCAGCGGAACTATATACAAACCACTAAACCTCTTTGTAAGCAGCTGACCCCTATACAAACCACTGAACCTCTTTGTAGACAGCTGACCTCTATTCAAACCACTGAACCTCTTTGTAAGCAGCTGACCCCTATACAAACCACTGAACCTCTTTGTAAGCAGCTGACCTCTATTCAAACCACTGAACCTCTTTGTAAGCAGCTAACCCCTATACAAACCACTGAACCTCTTTGTAGACAGCTGACCTCTATTCAAACCCCTGAACCTCTTTGTAAGCAGCTGACCTCTATACACACCACTGAACCTCTTTGTAAGCAGCAGTGAGTAACCTCTATACAAACCACTGAACCTCTTTGTAGGCGGCTGACCTCTATACAAACCACTGAACCTCTTTGTAAGGCAGCTGACCTCTACAAACCACTGAACCTCTTTGTAAGCAGCTGACCCCTATACACACCACTGAACCTCTTTGTAAGCAGCTGTCCCCTATACAAACCACTGAACCTCTTTATAAGCATCTGACCTCTATACAAACCACTGAACCTCTTTGTAGGCAGCTGACCTCTATACAAACCACTGCACCTCTTTGTTGTTCCACCTCTGCTAACACTTAGTAATGTCTTTTGATAGCACCCTAATTGTTGAATGATCATATCTAGGAAATATTTCCATACCAAATGAAAACAACTGATTATCCTATTAAACAATCTCAAAAAAAAATACCATTAACTGTTGGAGCCAATTGTTGGTTATATTGGCAGGCTTTCTGATCAATGACAAACCAATGCTAAATTCTGATGCACCACTGGCCTTGTAAATATCATTTAATTTTACGGACATGAAAGTCACATATTGACTTGACAAGGTACTTGACATTTCTCCCCCCATGTCAGTTTTTTAGCTAGGAATTAAGCTGCAGACGACAGTGCAGTCTGGGACGAGGTAGTACATACTCCACGTTATATTGGGTGACACTACACAAAATCACACGCCACTACGGTGAGCAAACAGCAGCAGGAACAGCACACCAGCACAGATCACATGTGTTGCCATGGAGGGTTTAAAAGCCTGCTTTTTTATACCACTAGGGGATCTGATTAGCAGCCCTAGCATGTCTGAGTGATTACCTTGATTGACACGGGAAGGTGATGGAAAGCTCGTTCGTTCAGTACATGACGGATGACTTTGTTCAAGACTTAACCTACTTCAGAATCAACAATTGACTTTTCCTAGTAATTAACGAGAGGAAAAGTTAAAAACACAGAACATTTAGGGACTTGATATATTCATTTAGATTTTTTCTGAACGTCACACACTTGACATATATCCTACAGAAATATTTTTTGGTAGAAAACCTTAAGACATTAAAACATCATAGACATAACATGCATTTCTTGATGTAATGATTAAAAAGTTTTGAAACACTTCAAAAAACATGTTGATGGGCTGTAAAGGTAACTGGTACATTGTTCTTTGAGTGGTATATATATAGCTGTGCTAGGGACAGTCAAATTTGTTTTAAAATCAAGGGTTTTCAGGTTTTACCTTTGACTTCAAACGTAAAATATATACAATTACACTCCTGCCATGTTATAAAGCTGTCAAACCTGGGAATTGAAAAATATAGCTGTCATGCATAACATACTTTAAAAAAAGCATGTGCTGCTGGCTGGCTGAGCTGATTATGACAACACCCTCATGATGAAATTTTAATTTAAAGAATATCAGAATGTGACACTGCTTTATAACATCATATCATTACATATTCCACGCCTGTTAAATGTACTACAACAAGAAATGCATATCAGAGGTGCTTATAAGGTCATTGTTACGTGTATTATTTATCTTGTCTATAGATCTAGATAAGTTGATGTTTCAACAGTTTGAAAAATATATGGTGTTTATTTTATGTGGATATAACTTTGTAACCTCCAGTTTCATTTTTAGAACACACATGACATTGTATTGTTGGAAAAAACCAGGTGGTAAATACCAAGTTTGTTTTCAACACAAACAGTAATTGAGAAGACTTGTTTTGAGAGCGTTTGAAAAAGTATGGTTATAGTTTTCATTGTCAAGCAAAGAGTGCATAGGTCACAGTAGGTAACCTAACTCTTGCACTCTGCACTCCACCATCCTAAGATGTCCCTGTACACCAAATCTGGCTACTCCAGGTGAAATAGTATAGAAGATATGTCCAGGACAAACTTTGATTCTCGGAAGGAAGGAAGGAAGGAAGGAAAGACGGATGGAGTGAAAAACTATAAAGGGTTCTTGCTAACTTTTCAAAAATATGCTAGTATTTGAAAGATATAGATAATTAAAGTTATCCATTCGGTATCAATGAAGTTCTGAATTTTCTACTTCTAATTCTTACTATTGAAAAAAAAAAAAAAAAAAAAAGCAAATGTCAAAATAATTAAAAAGATAGGTTTGCCCTCAGATTTGACCCACAATGAGTAACTCTCTAAAGCTAGTATTTAGTCCCACAACTATGACATCATTTGTGCAGTTCATTCCATTGACTAAAAAACTAAAACATTACCTAGGTTTGTCTTGTTATGTTTTTCTTAGTGTCTAGTTTTACGGGCCATCAACATTATTTGAAGTCATTTAGGTCCAAGCAACACTAAAAACAGGCGTACACAAAAACGAATACATCAAACTCAAGCTAAAAGGTTAAAAGGTAAAATGTTCAAAAAACATCAAAGCAAATTAAACATCCTTAAAAAGAACACGAAGAAACAGTACGTTTATATCAAGAAAAACATGCGGGCAGCTTACCATTGATCGATCCCCTCCCCCGTATATTTACAAGATATTTTTCGGGGACTGACTGACCTTTTCTGGCTCTATCATTACTCTTAGTTCTACAGTTTCTGGGGTGCTTTATCCCCTCCCCCTTCCCCTTGCATTCCAGGGCTTCACAGCAGGCCCCTATTTTCAATCTGCCC